GAGATATACCAGTCTTGCTAAATGGTGCTGGAGAGGGGGTAGTTCTGTAGACTGGAAGAATAGCTCTCACAACAGCTATGCATACTTTATTTCATCAAGATGAGAGTCAACCCTAGTACTAACTTTTTTTTTCAATTTTCTCTTGATTTACCAGGCCACCAAGATTCTGCGGCAAAGTGTGCGATTCGAAAAACGCAAGCCATGACAGCCTATCTAGATAGGTGGGGTGGACGCTCGAGATTGTATTTCCAAAACATCGTAGGGCTCGTGCTACCTTCAAAGCTTTAGTTGCTTGTATCTCAGCGTGATATTCAAAACTCAGTTCTCGATCGAAATTTGCGCTTAGCCACTCCAGGTACGGTCGACTTGGATTTTCTGAGATGACGAAAGAATCTATTTGGACCCCTGGGCTAACGCCCTTATCCCTAGTCCTTTTAATAAAATGCTTTAGTTTGGGCCTTTCCGCGTTAAATGTCATTCCTGCGGCTGTATCCCAAGAAATTGATTGGTTGATAGTAGACTCAATGTTGCGGGTGATAACTTCAAGAGATGATGAGCTCTCAGTAATTGCAGCGTCATCGGCGTACCCAAAGCTTTTTCTGAGGCTCTTGCGTTTAAGGGCGAGAGAAATATCATTAGGAGAATATGTGAGACCGGGGAGCCTTGCAATAGCCCACATATGACTTCATTGGGAGGAGCTTCTTGCTCATCGACACGAGCGCACAACCCGCGGTTTGATGCAAAAGAGCCGACCCTGTTGGAAAGATTGATAGGCTAGCCCTGTTCTTTTAGCCGATGAGCTAGCCTTCTTGGGAGCACCACATCAAAGGCTCCTACGCGATCAAGAGTAGCTACTGGAGCAGTCTCACTCTCTGCCACCCATCGCTACAAATACTTTGGCCAGATTTTCCCTTCTCTTGTCGGTAAATGCCGTGGTCGCGTGACCTCACATGACCATTGAATTCCAAAGCTGAGTCAGCCGACTGGGAATTTGGTCTGGGTGGAATGAGGGGGATTAAGTAGTTCTAGGGACAGAGAGAGGGAGGCTAGATACGAGCATCAAGATCGAGTAAAACTCCAATAACACATTAGGTCTCACCAACACCTATGATCGTCTCCAAAAAAGTCTACCCAGAGTCTTTGACGCTATTTTAGGAGTAGACATGTCCTTCGGTACGTAGCTAGCTATGATAACCAGATCAACGAAGCGACTATCTGCGAATCAACTTTCAGGGCGGATAGCAAAATTGCAGGCCAGGCAAATCTAGCGGGGAATTGTTCCAAATCTTTACAGTTCTGGATATTGCAGCTAGACGACATAGCTTCCTCTCTTGGCTCCAATAACTCACCTTTTGGCCAATGGCTGGCTCACATCGGGCACCTTCTTAATAGACTCATCAAAGCGTCATTTTTAAGAGTAGCTAAATTCGATAAGTCGACTACGTGGCCAAGCCAGAGGTGGCGTCTACATGAGGAGAAGGATCCGCTTTGCCGTTACTCAGCTGTAGCCCAGTACCAGTTCAGACGAACATTGTGTAGGAATACTCTCGCATACAGTGCCCTAACCTGCTTGGAGTAAATTTAACCCTGAAACCAATCAGGAAGGAGCTTTGGATTAGTCATGAATTGGTCATAGAAGGAAAGGTGGTCAGAGCTCACGTTGGAACCTTTTCTTCTGTAGAGTTCCTTTGGAGAGGAGTCTTGGGATAGAGGTAGTTGGTATGTGCAACCTTAGTATAATTTATTTGTTAATTCGCCCCAAAGAAAACCTACAACAGCCGTCGCTCTAAGATTGAAAAACAACGCATGGTAGTCCACCTGGGATGGCAAGAAATTCTACTCGAGGGATACTTTCAGCTGGCCTCAGTTTCGGGCGACAGTGCTCTCAAGAAATGATAATAAGAGCTAATAGCAGCTAGGACTAAGGACACCCCGCAAGCATTCCATTCGATGCGCCTTCGTCCGAATTTGGTTCTGCATAGATTCTCCATCTAAAGCTATTGGCGGCATACTTTTCTAGTGTGCATGGTTGTATGTAAATTAAAATGATAAGCTATTGAAATCCCCGTACTTCTTTGGGCACCTCAACAGAAGTGATATCAGTCTTGATCAGATCAACATCTATCAATTACACGAGCCTCGTCTCACCCAAATGACCGGACCACATGAGACTTTGCCCATGTGTTGAATCATGTCGGGTCCGACCATCTAGAGAACCCGATGTTGACAGGCCGAAGCGCATATTCCTCTAGAATTGACCAGCACACGTCTGAGCCCTTGGTATCTCCGAATCTCTACGATTTCTATTCTGCTCAGTCTCGGTACATTAGATCACTGGATAATCGTTTCCTTCATTGATTGCATCATCAAGTGGCCCACCAAGGCCTCACGAGGCAGGCTCTCTTTTCATCCTAAAGTATCAGTGTCACTACTGTCATTCCCCCATTTTTCCACCTTTGACACTTGGAATTTGTTGTACCACGATCTTGCTCTATTACTGCTATACCCCTAATCATGGAGGACGATTGTATGTGGGAGCTTAAAATCGATGTCTCGAGCATTATCAAATTCTCTGGTTGAAGTTTCAGCGAAATGTCGTATTTAATTCATCGCAGGCAAATTTTTGTACGAATTGAACATCAGTAACTTGGTCGCACATTTACGGCACGCAGCAGCTGCTGCGGAGGATTGGACGTCTCCATGAATCTTTGATGATTTCCGGGCTTTTGGAGAGGGTCGCACCATGATTTGAGCAGGGAAAATTTATTCTAGAAATGTCATGAGTGAGTGGCGTCGGTTCCTATTACAAGCCTCAGACAGATTTAGGCCCGTCTGCAGGCTCTATGCGGTGAGCTTTGATAGACAAGCGGATACACTCGGTCGTTCTCGGCGATGAAATGAGATTTTTTGCAATGTGGGCAGGTCAAGGGCGAAGAATTGACGCGGTCAGAGATCTAGAATCTAAAATTGCGGGATTTGCGTAAAGGCCGGCGTCGGAGGTTGTTGTGTGCAAGGTGGCCGCAACCTTAGGCGAGACGGCGCTGGTCAGGTAGTCAGAGATGCACGTGCGTGGGGGAAAATGGCGTTAGTCTTGTCATCTACTCGCGTCGTGACAAGTCGGGGGACGCGGTATTGTGCATCAAAAAAGTCATGGCTGCTATCTGCAAGGGCCAGGTCGTGTGTCATGGCTTCGAAGTACCCGACGTCCCTTGAATCTGCCCCTTCACGGGACCCACTATAAGGCGTCCGCCATGAGTCGCAGTCTTATGCCGCTTGGTTGACTGGGGACCGACACAATGCTCAATTAAAAGCTGGTGCACGACGACACTTGAGGTGGGCCTGATTGGTTGGTATCGTACGCGTCCTGTCTCTTCATACGAGATATCCAGCACGGAAAATAGTGTAAAGACAGCACGTGAGTATTGACAAGGACCTGGCTGCACGCGGTGAAACTTCGAGTGGCTCGGCCGCTGCCAATAAGACGAGTCACGGGCGGCTGTAGTTTTTCGGTTCGGTGATTTTGTGCTACTTGAATGTATGAGCACCCAGCACATTGGGCCCCTCTGAGTACGTTGGAGGTGTGCATGACCTTCTGTACCTAAAGACGACGACGAGGGAAAATGTACTACTGCTGTGTGAGGATCAACTGCGGCGTGCCAACACCCTTCCGGCAGAGGGAGTTCGTACAAGCAATGTAGAGGATACGAATGTTTGAAGGCCACGGTGTCATGCCAAACATCTCGGTGCTATGGAGATGCCTCTGCTTGGCGCCAGAAAGAGCTCGGCGACCGACGCGGGGCTCTTGGACACGTTGCCCCGTGGCCCTGTCACGTGAGAATATCGTTCAGGGTCCGGGTCGAGACAGAGACTTGGATGTTTTGATGGGTGGACGAAGGCGGAGCAGGGCCCTGGCGTCTCTGGCTTCGGTGTTCTTCGTGTTTCGGGACGACGGGGTTGAGTGAGATCTGGAACCCGCAGCAACATTAGGGGCATTGTTGGCTGAGCGGCGTAGGAGCGGAGTCCTCGAGTACGCTGGCGAGCTGCAGCGACGGGTCGGCCAGGGGAAGAGGACACAAATATCTCCAACCCACTCTCCCGCCGTCGCGAGAGTCAGGCGTGGGCCCGCGAGGCAAATGGCATGGTCTGCCAAGGGCGGATGCAGTGTGCATTCAGATTAGAGCGGCCCTCATCGGCGCCAGTGCGTCTCGCACATCCGATGAGCCGTAGCCGCGCAACGGCTACTTGAACGGGCAATGCAAACGTAGCCGACGGTCATGGCACAAGCCCATTGTCGCTAGTCAGCCTGCCTAGTCCGTATCCGCTCGCTACTATTCTCACCCTTGCGTGTCCTGTCCCGGTCGAACTTGCCTTCCGCTTGACATCCCGCTTGACGCTTCACTTTCCTCGTCTTCCTCCTTCTCTTCCTCCATTACCTCTACCCTTCCCGCCGTCTTTCCTTCGAATTGCCCTCGACAGAGGCGACCAACTCGGCCTCCGCCCTTCCAATCTCATCAGCCCTCGCTTAGCCCGGCTCGGCCACTGGCCGACTCGCTAACTGGCCGACATTGTTTCGTCCGAACCGCCAGTCATCTTCAGCTGGTGGCCCGCGTTCCAACGTCGTCACAATCTTGAGTCCACCATCGGTATTTTTGGCCCTGGGCTTGTTTGGAGTACTCCAGGGGTGCCTGAGCCGCTGCCCTGAATTATCTCCCTCCCCCTGGCTCTCGCCTGCCTGCCTAATCTCCTGCTGGAAATGCGATGCAGCTGAGGCCCCATTACCATCATCACCACCACCACCAGCTCTCATCCACCCCTCCAGAATTCTTTCCTTCATTTTCTCTCTTTCATTTTCTTAGCTTTGGGTACACTCTTTTCAGCCCTTTTTGCGTCGGCTTCTCACCACTCACCTTCGTTTTCTCGTCCCAATTATGCGACCATAGATACGCTTAGACGGAATCTCGTCGCTGCACCAACACGAACAAGTCTAGACCAAACCGACGATGAGTCTATCCCCTTCGGCTTCGCTCCCGGAAGAATCTTGCTCCATCATCTTCAACCAGACCCTCTACTCTTACACACCCGCCGGCTTCCACGCCCTTCCCTTGCGCAAAGATGCCGAGTGGAGTCCATTGCCCCTCGGCGTCGCCGTGCGCGGGGGAGTGTGTGTCAAGGCCACGCCCCAGGATAGCCAAATTCCATCCGCCATGTTCATCGTGGGTGGTGTCGCCAACTCTTCCGACTACCAGGGCATCCAAAAGTATACCTTTGACACACGCCAGTGGGAAAATATTGTCCTCACCGATCCTGTCCTGCAAAACCGCCGCTTCCACGGTGCCCTATACCTGAACGCCTCCAATTCCATCTTAGTCTATTCTGGTACTCAGGGCGACAGCAAGGAGTTATCCTCCCAAACCTTCACCATTCAAGCCTCCGTGCCATACCAAGTCGCCGCCTATGAGTCCATTGCTCCACCTGCCATCTCCCCCATCTTATTGCAATGGTCGGATCGGCAGGCTCTCTACTTGGGTGGCAGTAAATCCAATCAGAAGATCATGCTATTCGATCCCGCCACTTCATGGGTCGATTCAAACATGACCCTGGCCAATCCTATCTCCAACCTCGAAGCAACTAAGGCTGTTATTCTCCCTGGCCTCGGTTCGAGCCGTTTAATCGATATTTTTGATCTATCACTGTCCCCAAACGCAGTTAATCGAACCGTCCTTCAAGATCCTAGCCCAAAAATCGGTCTCAGCGCTGTCGTCGACGCACCCTCTGATTCGAACTCACCCACCACGGCTGGGCCTGCCTACGATAATTCCTTGGCGCCCTCATCGACGAGATCCTCATATGCCCTTGCCCAGGATTCCTCTGGATTGGTTGTCATTTCTGGTGGCAGCCAGACTAACCCCTTCAGTCTCTTTAATAGCCAGAAAAATCGATGGGAAGATACGGCAGAATTATTAGGTACGCCCAGCCTCCAACCCCAAAGTCTTCCGGCGCCGAAAACCTCAGCTACCCAGGTGCCCGTGGCAAGTGCTTCGAGTACTCGCCCCCCGAGCGCTGCCATAGCCGCCATGTCTCCCGTGAACATTCTTGGGGCCACGCTAGCTTTCCTTCTCGTCACCGGACTCATCATCATCGCCATCTTGATTCTTTTCCGATGGCGCAAGGGCCGGCAGCCTGGCGAAAACGGTGGTAACGCCAAGCGAGCGAGTGCTGTGGACGATAAGGACGGTATGGATTTTATGGATAAGGATGTGCCATACATGATTTCTGCCCCTAGCCTCCCCAACGCGAAGCCGGACCCTGAGGTAACAGCTCCCAAAGCAGGATTTTTCGGCTGGTTCGGTAAGAAAGACCAGAAGACGGTAGATGTTGGTGACCCAGCCCTGCAGGAATATAAGAATTCCATCAGTCGACCCCTCCCGCTAAGAAAGGTCACCACTCGCTTGCGCAAAAGTACTTTCTCATCCGAGGAAGCTCAAACCATACCTTCGTCGGGGGGGAAGCCGGCCATGACTCGAAGAAGCTCTGGATGGAATCGATATTGGTCAAACGGAAGTAGCACCGTCTTAGGACTCGATGGAACCACAGTTCACATCTCCGATACTCGAGACCGATCTTTGGAAGATTCGGACGAATCGGGCTCGTATGCCTCCATGACACATCCCTTAACCCTCGGCGAATGCCCAGATCTCTACAATGTGCGCTCAGGGAGCCCCACAGTCGCCTACCAAGCCCAACGATACCCCATGATGGGAGAAATTAGCAATACCCAAAGCAGCCAAGGCTCCACATCGCCATACCACTCTTCGCCGCGCGGGGCCACGGAAAACTTCCAAAGCATGTCTCAGACCAGCTCATTTACTGATGATCGTTGGGCGCCTATTGAAAGATCAGATATGTCTCCTGAACCAATCTATTATCCTGGAACCGACTCATCACGTGGCTCCAGCTCAACAAATCGATCTATGGGTAGCTCTCCACCCGACCGCCCACCTCCACCTCACGGTAGCCAAGTACTCACGTCGAGTGACATTGCCTGGCTGAACCTCGGCGCCAGCGACAACAAAATTTGATTATCACTACCTTGCTTAAGCGGAAACTTGCGCATGTGGGGCATGGCTGTGCATACTTAGCAGAGGGTTGCGTATTATCGGTGTGCATAAAGCTCCATCCGACCCAGACGCCTTCTGGCTCATTGAATCCGATCTGTTTTTGCTACGATACCCCTTACCCAAGAGTCACTTCAAATTCGGGCAAGGACAAATTCCACTACTATACTCAGCCATTTTTGCTCAAAGGGCACAGCGCAACGTGATGGGCTTTGCGCTCACTTCTCACCTTTCCTCGGCTGCGACTCGGCGTTTGCTTTTGACGATTATATGTGTACGACTACGCGTGTGGGAGGTTGGAAATTAGGGTCCATGGCAAATGGACGGGCTGGAGTAAGTTTGCGGCGTATGGGGTTCTCTCGGGTGTGTGGTGTGTGTGTAGCATTTTGAAATTGCGCAAGGGCAGCTGGGATGACATACTTGGGGGGATTTTGAAACTTATTGGCCCTGGATACCTCGGCGTCGGACGGTATCATTTTTTTCCACGCACCTTTATCATGAATTATGAGCATTAGATACGGGCGAATGGCGACATTTGCATCGCCCGCGTTGTACTAAAAGCTAGTGCGTAGGTGAAATCTAGCTCAGGTGCTTGCAATGATCTTGCATGTGCGGCTAACGATTTAGAAGTGGTAGAGTGTGCGAACAACTTGACAACACTGGCACCATACCCGTCCGCTCCCGTGACTCTTCTGGCCCAGTACGGCCACGACGTGCGTGAGGTCATCTCTGATCCGCCCCTACCTGGCTGCGCCATGGCGAATGAGAAAGCCCACTGCCGCTAAACGGCCAACCCCCGATAGACGAGCACAAAAACAGAGATAAGATGCGCGCGGGAGGAAGGGTAAAAGCGTAAAGATTATTCACGATAATTAACGTCATGCCCAAGCACAGCACGTGAGGTATCCTAGTTTTGAATATCTATCGATGTGTATTCTTCCAAAAGTGCTCTACAAAAGCATTCACCACCTCCGATCATTCCTCGCTGTTTCCCTTTTGGATACTTAACTTGGTGCCTGCTCGCAGCACGTGCTTTGTATATCACGTGTCGGTTGCCACAGCTAAGGGGAAAGCTATCCGGCGTGATGGCGCCGTTTTTGTTTATTTTTAATTTTTAGGTCCTAAGCTATGCTCTATCTCTCCTAGAAGTCAAGGACCGGTGCACACGGCCGAGATCATGTTTCCCACATGTCCAACTCGGTCTCATCGCGTGACCCACTACACAATAAGTAGCTAGTTATAAGAAAGAAAATAAATGCTCCTACAAACTCCCATAACCAAAAATCCAAAACCCCATAGTCCTATTTGTGGTTGAAAAATGAGACGAGAAGTGTCATTTTCCTACATGTCATGCTTCGTACTCTGATCTAGTTACTGCCGTCTACGCTGAGAGCTGGAGACGGACTCGCAGGTGGGTGCCCGAAGCAGCCGGTTTCCTGTGCAAAATTTGTAAAGTGTTCGTGGCACTTAGGCCCGAAAAGCTTATGAGTGAACTCGTCATGTGACATATTATTCAGTCGTTGAGGGGAGTTGTTTTGTAGAGTGAGTAAGTTGAAAGACTCGCGGGAGAAAGATAGGTGCGGTATTGATGAGAATTCGTCGATGAAAGATATGCCAGTGGCTGCTTTCGACTACGATTCGGATGCGATTTTTCTTGGCTATTGTAAGGATTTAATGAATTCCGCTGTACTTGAGAGACAATTAATCAATAGGAATTGATAACTTCTTCCTTGAGAAGACAGTCTACCACGTAGTCTCCAATGTTAAGGAATTGTTAGGAAATGCTGCTTAGTCAGCAAGTTGGTCAAATGAAAGGTGTCCACATATTAGCACATAACACTCTTATCACTACATCCATACATTCCTCACATATCGCATATTACCATCTACATTATGTTACTCTCGTGACTACACTTTCTCAATATCCCAACAGGGATGAGATGAAGATTTGTGTCCCGTGACGTTAAGACGTTAACCCGTCACTCATTCTAAACATAGCTTAACGGAACTCTTGTTGAGTTCCGTTTGCTCTTTGAAGACAATCTATTCCACCAGATTTGACCTCGTCGATCTATCTTCCTGTACCGTGACATCCCATTCCTTATGTACTCTGCGTAGACTAGTCTTAACTCCCCATCTTGGCCACCTGAGAATCATCCTCTCTCCCCGGCTCACCTATTCTCTTGCACCATACTGTTACGGTTTGACCGTTGTCTGAGCTTATGTGGATACCTAGGCGTATTGTTGAAGATTCATGTTGTAAGACTGTAAGGAAATGATAGAGGAAACTGGAAGATTCGGCATTACCAGCCAAGGGGCCAGATCAGTGTCACAGCGTAGTGATTCTTGATAATATGTGGCTGGGTGGCAAGTATTCGGCCTAGGGTGAAGAAATCAGTCAAGACAATCACTGAGGGGCTGAATATTACAAATACCCGTTAGTTGAAGCTAGATTTCTCTTTCTTCTTCATACAGTTTATTAAATCGACATTATCATCACCAACTCGGGGTTCCCGTCACACATACTCCTCATCTGGTACGTGCCCCCCTTAATACCTCCTTTTAGCCCCATTCGCATTTCCAGGAGCGCTGCTCTGCCACAGCCTAGCCTCGAAGACAGAGTGGTCCTAGTGACCAGTCCGAATCCGGGCAAAGCCCATAACAGGTATCTCAGGTTTGCAGGGTGTACCAGGCGATTATACCACCACTGCTGGAAGATGAGAATACGTCTCTACCGGCGGCGTGGCCATGTTTATGTTAGAGCTCAACGATAAGACATCTCTCTGCGTACACGTGTGATCCATATATCTACTTATAATTTTCACCAAGTCATAGGGGTTCTGGCCGAGTGGTTAAGGCGCTGTGTTTAGGCGATAGTTGATCCGCAGTGGGAAACCGCGCAGGTTCGAATCCTGCGGACCTCACTTTTCAACTCTCTTTTGTCGCGAGTCGTGCTGCAAATTGCAGATGACAGTTACATACCAGATAACGTTACTGATGATGTTTGGTCACTAAATATGAAGACAATGTGAGGACATAAAGGTACATTCCGCCTACAATCCAGTATTTTGAGGGGGTCCAAACTCAACGCCTGTCAGTGGTGTCCTCCACAAACCTCCAGCTCTCACTGTAGAGAATGTAGAGCCGAGATTGGGTTACACCTTTTAAAAATTGAGCTGAGTTATCTTCCCCTCCGTCAAAGATACGCTTCCGATAACTCACAAGACGACCAAGTCGACGATAATAATGCTGGGAATGAGGAAGGATAATGCAGTACCAAACGCTATAAGGTTGGTCAGAGAAAGCCCTCGTTAGATTACAACATGCGCGCTACCCACCGGCGGGCGAACAAAAAGCCCACGAAAGCAAAGTAAAAGTCCCTTCCGCCCTCAAGAAAAGCAGATTTCGACTCGTCAACAATATTGTCCCTACTAACCTCTAACCTGAAACTACTAGCCAGGAGGGCATCTGAAATACATGAGTTACTCGACAATCTCACGTCCGTAACGACTTTTGGATGCTGGGCTAGGCTTCTTCACGGCAGTCTCTCTCGACCAAGACTTTTCTGACATCCTTTCACCACCTTTGGTTTATCTTGCGGCATGAATCAGGGAAAGATGAAGGAGGAGGCTAGGAAGGTTAAGAGGCACTCTGGGGTATACACAGATTTGCTGCGCCCGGCACCCTGTGGTTTTTGAGACTTTTCCCTGCAGCTATACACCCGCAAATGGCCATCGTTGTGTTGGCTGGAGAGGGAAGATAATGACGTGATAACGGCTCCTCTTAGTGTGTACCCGAATGAAGACCTGTGGGGGTATTACTGCTGGAGAGAAGTTGTGAAGGAGGCATAGGAGAGAGTATACTACCCGAGCGATAGATACTTCTGGCCTGTAGGCAAAAAGGACCTACATGTCCTCACATAGTCATATACTCATTAGGAAAATGAACACACCTCCTCCGGTATTGAGGAGTGGTGATGTATATGGTCGTATACACTTGGTATCTTGAATTGAATGGTCGTGACAACTCAGGGGACTTTGAATATACTTGGTCGGTTATGGCAGTAATATGATTGGTTGCGAATGATATCTTGTTTACGTTCTTGTTTAACTAATTTCAAGTCCTAGGCCGTAACCTTCAACCTTTTTCGATGTAGCACCGGTGGAGTCGGCCGAGATTCAACCTTGGGGCTTGCCGTGCTCGTTTATTTTTTTGCATCAGATTTTAATTGCGTATGCAGCTATCTAGCCACGACGCAATATCAAAAAAAAGTACAGAAAAGATGACTCAATTTACTAGAGGAGCACTCATGCCTCGGATTTCATTTGCAAGTACCACTGCGAAGTTATGCTGGCTTTTTCTTCAGCTTGCCGTGCTCGTCCACACCACTTTTGGAGCTAATAAATCATGAGCTCATGGATCAAATAATGCAGTGAAGAGAAAAAATGAAAAGAAATTATAAATGGGCTTGAGTCAGCATTCCACATTCTGAGCTCTCCTCCGCCAGCGTATTTGTCCTAGCATTTATCGCAAACCCGTCCATGCATTCAGCCAAGAATTAGGGTGCGTCTAGTCTACCGAAGCAGCCTGTTACCCATGCAGAAATTTCAAACTTCTCTCACCCTTTGTGTCCGAGGAGCAGGATGATGATCTTTATTTTACGTCTGACGAGCCACGCGTCAAGCGCGTGGCCCTATTAAGTGCCTACAGAGACAAAAGACGCCAGGGTCTAATCCCTGGGCTTCTACATATTTTGAAGGAGAGGAATAAAAACAATACGAGACTTTATATACATAGATAGGGCATTCACAGAGCTACTTCCCGCACATTGCTAAGCTCTTGTGTGTGGTGATGAAATGATTGCTCAGCGCCATTCCCTGTAGACCTCCACTGCCAAAAAAATAAATTTTCTTGCTCCATTAAGTTACTTGTCTTTCTTCTTAAGGTAGCTCGCTTTAGTCATC